AGGCTTAAAAATAGGCTTACTGTGAGCCACGCTCACTGATAAGACCTAGCAAGTCATACCTCTCACTCATTATGCAGATGTGGAGATCCTCCAGAGTACATGATTGGCTGGTTGAAAAAAAATTTCAGTATTCCATTTGGAAGTAGTCCAAGAATTGGGTACCAGGCAGGCAGCAAAACATTGGACACTGATTCTTCCCTGTTAATCTGGTTTTTGGGTTTTTTTGTGTTAGGTGAAGACTAAGTAAACATAAAAGTAGATAGAAATGAAAGTTTGCTTTGGATAATTATTATTTTTTTATATTTTTAAAATAATTTTTTATTAATTTTAATGAAAATTTACTAATTATTTCTTGAAACAATTGCACTAGTGGCAGATCGTCATTTCTAAGGGAAACAGTTGCATTTTCCCCCCATCCATTACCATGGTAGACTGATTTGTAGAAATTTAATCCTTAAGTTAAAAATATTTTGTTGTCTTTAGTGTTCCTTAGGTGATTTGATCTGACGGTGTGTTTTCAGAGTTTGATGATCATCTTAAGGAGACTAGGAAAAAATATCTGCTCAGAAACAAGAAACCTGGTACAAAGATCTCTTTTATTTAGTTTGGCTAAGGCAGTAGGTCTTTAGTTATGAAATAGGGATATCTGTTCTAACTCAAGGAAATTGCAATTATTTAAAAAGTAATACCTAGTTCATCTTATTTATGCTGTGTAAGAAAAGTCTCTCTACATTTAGTCTTCCAGTTAGAAATCATTGCCCTCTGAGGTGGGAGAAATTGCAAAAACAGTGCTTTCTGGATAAATTTTAAGCCTTCTCAATTCACCTAAGTATATGAAAACTTTTTAGTCTTCTCAATTCACACACCCACATTCACACCCCAAAATGAACAAAGGATATCTGCTGCAATTATTCCTTGAGTCAGTGTTTTGTTTTTTTTTTAAATAAGAAAATGTGTTTGTGATTAAAGATTATGTTGACATTTTGATGCCCTTGGTGATGCCCTTGAAATTTACTTAACCTTCAAATTTATAGTCCTTTTCCACCATGACTTTGACTTGAGGTAAATAGTGTTGCACTTAATAATGACTCACAAATGAAATGCTTTTTTCCCTGGGCCAAGGGCTTGAAGCCTATATATCTATATCTTGTTATCAGTGTTCAGACTCTTTTAAAGGGGTTATTTATCCTACTGTTGTTGTTGTTATGTGCCATCGAGTCGTTTGCGACTCATAGCGACCCTGTGTACAACAGCCCTAAAGCCTGCTCTATCCTGTGCCAATCTCATTGCCTTGGACACACCCATCCCAATTGCCCAGTCACTGAATTAGTCCACCTCATAGAGGGTCTTCCCCTCCTGAGCTGTCCCGCAGTCCCCTCTACTCTACCCAGCATGATGTCCCTCTCTAAAGACCTGTCTCTCCTTACAACATGTCCATGCTAAATTATCCTGGGGTCACAGTAAAATACAGTCATGGTTAAAATTCTTTATTAGCTTGCAGGTTTTTTATGTTTTATTTATAGTATTTTATTTTCAAGCAAGTAAATTTAAAGCTCTTACACATAAGGGCTGTATTTTAAGTACCTTAGCAAGAACATGAGACTTTCTATTTAGGGAACTATTGAAGGTTGCCTTAGCTTGGATGGTAAAATAACTGAAGTTGATTTTCAGATTGAGGATACGATGTTATGATGCAGATCCCATTTATCTCTAGGCAGTGCAGACACATTGATCTAAACATTTTACATGTGAAATATAAACTCTTTCTGAACCCGTGCCACCTTATCAGTAAGAGTGCATGGTTTAAAATACGCCTCATTTTTCATGTGCTCTTTGTCTTTTCTGAGGTTGTCTTGGTCAGAATTTTCAAATTGACTTGGTGAGCCTGCTGGATTTTAGGGTATGTACACAGTGGTCTTCATCTAAACCAGGCTCTGAATTCTAGTATATATAGTTTCTAACTAATTATTGACATCTAATAAAATTAGCAGCCTCTTTTGTCCTCCCTGCTTTGTGTCCCCAGTCAAAATAAAACTGCTACACCTCTCAATATTTAACAGGAGTGGCAGTTTAAAAAAAATCACTTCCAAGTGACCTCTTTTAAAGGCTTGTATCAAATTTAGATTCTCTTACGTAGCTTGTGGTTTGCCAGGTGTATGTCTACATGGCTGTTCATCTTCTGTGCTTGCTTTTGGCCTTGTGTGTGCCCCTGACCTTTGTAGTTATAGCTTTTGTGTATCCCTTTGTGCTTCTGTATCTTTGCACTTCTGTTTGCTATTGAAAATGTCCTCAGCCAAACATTTAGAGAAGCTTTTCAGTTAAGACCTTGAGTAAAAGAGTGGAGTAGACTTACTTATGTGGGACATGGTTGATAATCTCTCTACATTTCATAGAAGAGATGAGGGCCCAGCTTGCTTGTTGATTGTTAGGTGCTGTTGAATATGACTCCTAGTGACCATGTGAACAGCCGACCTGAGCCCTGCCATCTCCTGTGTCATCCTCTTCATCTCTGACACGCTTGAGTCCATTGCTGAAGTCACCTTGTCAGTCCATCGCATTGGAGGTCTCCCTCTTCTTTGCTGACCATCCATCTTTGACTTGAGTTGCATTAAAATGCCTCTAGCGCTTTAAGAAAGGTCCAGGGAGCTCCGGTGGCCTAGTGGCAAGGATCTGCAACTACAATCCCAGAGGCGCACGGTTCAAATCCACCAGATGCTCTGCCGGGGAAGGAGGGACAATCTCCTCCTGTACCAGTCAGATCTGATTTGATGGTACACTCACACAAAGATAATAAAAAAATAAAAAATTAAAAAAAAAGTTAAAAAAAAAAAAACCATTTAAGGTCTAGATTTTAAAGTTCAACTTGTTAATTTATACTTTTGGTTGCCTTAGGAGCCCTGGTGACACAGGAATTAAGCATTCTGGTAAGCAAAAGGTTGGTGTATTTTGAACCCACCAGCCACTCTGAATGTCTGCTGATGTGCTTCAGTACAGATGGCAGCCTCGGAAACCCCTTGGGCTGTTGTACTTCATGAGAAAGGGTTTAAGATTGGCTGTCTTAGCCTAAAAATGTTGTTCATGCCCTTTGTTTGCTTGATGATGCATTGAGAAAGTAGAAGCTTTTGTGTGAGGTTGTTTTTGTCATTCTAGCATTGAGACACTGGGGAAGACCATGCCCAAGTGGCCCTTTGCATCTGTGAAATGAGACTAACCCATGGAGCTTAACTGAGACATGAATGAATGCAACAGTGCATGATTGCCACAGGTTCCAAGTTCGAATCCTGGTATTGGAAGAAAACGTGTTTTTAAGTGAAAGACTTGCTCTGTGGAAAAGTTTCCCATGTTCTTTCTAATCTTTAGAGATAAAGATTGATCGGCTGCTGAGTATTCCTTGCAGTAAAGTTCTGCTGAGGCAGCCCTCTAGCTCTCTTTCTTCTGCTGAAATGCAGATTCATTGAGCTTGGGATCCAGTGCCATGTTTCGACTTCATCCTGGGACACAGCTTTTTATTCATTATATTTGACTGTTCTTTCCTTTCAAACAGGCAAGGGATTAAACGTTCAAGCCAGGAAAAGTAGTGGTGGAATGTTTTTCTTTGTGCTTGAGGATTGTTGCTTTACCAGAAGGGCCAGGGATAAAAGAACCATCTTTTATATCATTAGAGATACACTAGTGATTTGCAGCTAATAATGTAGCATCGCCGTTAAAAAGAAATTGCATTGCTTTATGTGTTAAACATTTTCCCCCGAATTTGATAAAACCTCTGAGGAACAGGGATAACTTAACTGAGCGCTACCTACTGTAAAGACCTGGGAAGATGGATTTTGGGAGAAGTAAGCCAAGGTCATCTGGGGATGAGGCAGAATGAAAAACACCCAAGGAGACACGAGATGCTCTCTAGGTGTTCACCCTCCGTCTGGTATTGGGGAGTTCAGTAGCCAGTCAGAACTTACTGCTCCTTGTGCTTTCTAAGATGTCTACTGCTGTTTGACTGCGCTCCATTTCCTGCTGTTGACTATCAGCACCCACACTGAATGTCCGCACCAGGAGTGTATTAGTTGGTAATTGTCATCCTGAAAATTCATTGTTTCTGGAGAACAGCATAGCTTGGTTAAGAGTTACAGACTTTAAAAAAAAAACCCAAAGATATGTCTGGTAACCTTGGGCAGTTAGCCCAGTTTCTGTTTTGCAAGCACTTGTCTCATTGTATTCATCTTAAAACTAAAAACCAAACCCACTGCCATCAAGTCTATTTCAAGTCATTACTAACCTATAGGAGTAGGATAGTATTCCCATAGTTTTTCCAAGAATGCTGCAAGTTTCTCCTGTGGAGCAGCTGGTGGGTTCAAATTGCCGACTTGTTAGCTGAGTTCTTTTTTTTTTTTAAATTTTATTTTATTTCGTACCATCAAATCAGATCTGACTGATACAGGAGATTGTTCCTCCTTCTCCAGCAGAGCATCTGGTGGATTCAAACTCTGTATCTCTGAGATTGCAGTGCGGCTTCTTGCCACTAGGCCACCAGAGCTCGTTAGCTGAGTTCTTAACCATTATGCCACCAGGGTTCCTAACATTTATACGTTTAGCTATTGTTGTGCTGTTCAAATACAGAATTTTTGTTTGTATCAGATGAGGATTACTTTTGTCTTTATTATTCATAAGCAATACCTAATTCAGGAAATAGTGTTTTAAAATGGATAATTTGGCTAATAAACCCCTCTACTTGTCTCTCTGTTCAAAGATTACTTGTAGAAGAATAGTTCAGAAGCTCTGGACTGTTAAAATAAATAAATATATAAATATATATATATCTCGCATTTCCAACATGACTGGGTACATTTCCATTTAATAGATTACTAATGGATTTGAAAAACTCCATACTTTATTTTGATAAAGTGATTATTGATTTTAATTAAATTGTTAAATGACTTTCTTCATGTTAACAGTGTGGCGCTGATTATCATGTGTGTCTTTTCTTTTTCTCTTTTTCCTTTATATAGAAAGTGTGGATACCCATCAGCGAAGTTTTGATATTGGAATTCAGATTGGCTATCAGCGGCGCAATAAGGATGTGTTGGCTTGGGTTAAAAAGCGCAGAAGAACTATACGTAGAGAAGATTTGATCAGCTTCCTGTGTGGGAAAGTTCCTCCACCACGGAACTCTAGAGCTCCCCCGAGACTGACTGTAGTGTCCCCTAACCGAGCTACTTCAACGGACACTAGCTCATCTGTAGAGACTGATTTGCAACCCTTCCGGGAAGCCATAGCTCTGCATGGTAAAGCCGTTTAAACATATTTATTTGGAAAAATGGTTAAGAGTGTGCCTGTGGACCCTTTTCACATTTAGGGTTAAGTCCAGACTTAATATCTGGGGTTTTTTTTGTCTATTATATAGTAAACACTCACTTAGAAATGTTTAATTAGAATGTAAGCTGAAAACTTCTGGGCACTTTTTGGACTGTCAGCTGTCCCTCCGTAAATAATGTTCTTAGATAGTTAGTTGGAAGCTTACTGGTGTTAAAATTAGACTTTTTGCAACAATAATTAGAATTTATTGCCTTGCATTTTTTGTTGTATAGTATATTATACATGTTTTGTGTTTCCCTCAAGTTAAAAAAGGAATTTCTTATGTCTTAAGAATTGTACTACATTTCTGATTTCTAGGGCAGCCTGACTATGTCCAGGCAAGGAGGGCAGGTGATTGTTAGGCTAATCTCACAGCATTTCCCTGCCACCTTGAGTTATGGAGCCAGCCTGGGTGAGCATTGATGACCCAGGCAGGAGTGGGTAGATGTCAGCATTAATGACTTTCCTTATGCCTTTTGTCCCTTAGTTTTTGTGTTTTGGTCTGGATTGTCAGATTTAGTAGTAGACAAAGTCCATCATCATCTCTCTAGGCCAGACCTGTTCTGAAAAGGCCTTTTAGGCAAAGGGCACTGAGGTCATTGATGAATCTTTTGTCACTTGTTGCTGTGTAGCACAGACTTACAAAAGAAGGGTAGGAAAGCTCCCTTCCAGTTGTACCTAATACAGCTGCTAAATAAGACATGCTGAGACCAAGAAGAGAACCTGCATCTCTGAGTGACTAAGCTAGTAAAAGTAATGAGCTTAGGTCAGGAGTCCTGTTAAAATGCTTTTGGGGCATAGTATAGACCATTAACACAAATAACCTGGTTATAAAAGGTTTCTTAACTCTCTTTAACAAAACTTTGACTTTTTCCTAAAATTCAAATTAAATGTAAGGTTAAGGAAAAAAAATGGGGATGGGAAAGCGTATGCCTTGCAAGCTGAAAAACATTTAAAAAAATGGCAAAAAAAAGAAAATCTACAGTGTATGGATGCAGTTTCTGACATAGTGCAGAACTTTGGAAACTCATGCAAAAGGAGGTTGATCTGTTCCTATTGGATTGCAGAGTTTCCCAATTCACTTAGATTTGGAAAAGCAGTAATTAGAAATGTACATAATTTGTCAGGTTAATTGTAGCGCATGATAGTGTTTAAATAGTGATCATTTCTGAAGCATCCTGATTTTCTTCCATCAGATGGATATATGGTTCATTCCATTCTTTTATTGTACCGTTCTGTATTATACTTTAGAAGATAGTTTTAAGAATTAGAAAAGTCACATTTGTCAAATTCTATCATGTACATAGTAAAATGGCTACCACTTTCCCTTTAACAGTTCCTGACTTTTCATGTCCCCCTATTACATTTTCTTGAATCTGTTCAACCTAGGATTTATTGTTTTCCTGAACTTGTAATTAAAGTCGTTAGTGATAATGTTTTGTGTGGAAAAAATAATCTTGCAGTACATTTTTAGAAGATAGTACTAATCTAGGACACATTTGATATTTGATGTACTTTATATAGTCACTGAACTAATTCAGTTAGAAAGGTGTGCTGATGAAGTAAGAAAGGGTCCCTTACTACTATGAGTCTTTAGAACCATTACACTTGAGTTTTGTCTCTGGGAAGTTGAGATCATATTGTATTGGAGAAAAACTAGTCTGATTTCGATGTCAAAAGAAATTCTGTAATTTCTAATTGTAGTCAATGTTAATAGTATTACAAATGAATAACTATGTAAGTTATTACTTTCATAGTATTTTCTTGAAAGCTGTTAAAAGGATTTTTAAAGAAATACGTGTTTGAAATGTCTCATTTAGAGTCAGTATTATGCTAGAATTCAGTTTTGCACACCATTTGCTTAGCGGAGTTTCTGAAGTAAAAATGAGACTGCTTTGAAATTTCTTAGAGTTCTACATTAGTGAGAAGAGTTACTGAAATTCCTATAAAAGAAAGGTTGATCTATTAAAGCATAGTTTCACAATTCATTTTCCTTTAGGTTTAGAAAAGCTGTTATTACTTTGGCAGCTGACTCCTTTTGAGTTTATAATCAAAGGCTTTGATAAGAAAGGGCAGTTCTTCCCTCTCTCCTCCCCCACCTTTAAAATGGTCTATTAAACACTCATCTCTGACTTTCATGAGCTGCATATGCCAATGTACAAAAAGTATTTTATTTGGAGAAATGGCAGAAGTCATCAGATAATTGATGTAAAAGAGTGGGACAAATTGAATAAGATATCTTAGTTTTGATTGATTAGATACAATTTTAGACAAACTTTTGTCACTGAATGATTTTTAGAGTTTAAAGACTACACTCCAGTACCTTAATTTTGGTCCCTTCTTTTTTTTGTGTACTTACTACTGGTCCTGTTCATCTGTTAAACTCTTGAGAAATCAAAGAAATAAAAAAGTGAGTTCTTAGTTGATTTCTGTGCAGAAACATTACCCTTCTTTAAAGTAGGAACAGAACTCTGGTTACTTAGTGATACAAATTGCGCTGCCAATCCATGGTTTGAATCTACCAGCTGCTCTGTAGGAGAAAGATGGACACTTCTCCTGTGTGATGTACTGCCCCCGAAACCTTCTTGGGGTTCAGCTATGAGTTAGTGCCAGCTTTATATAGTACATAACAGCAAAAACAAAGACATGTTTGAAAATCCATTGAGAACAGTGGTACTTAGTTTTTATGTTAATGGACTCTTTCAGATGGATAGAATTTTGCTGAAGTGCATATGACATAAATAAGAATTCTAAATAGCTGTCAGGCATTTATTAGGGTAGTTATTGTTAGCTTTGTTACTTAGTGCTTTCTTCAGTCAGATAATTTGTAGTTTTTCTGTTCAGTTTTCTGATTATTTCTCCTATTTATTCTCTTGAACCTTTTCTCTCCTTGACTGCTTTTCTTAGGCTGCTTCAGCCTCAGTGACCTTTCCTCAGGTTCTTTCAGCTGATGTAAGTACATTCCTCTGTATTCCAGCCCTAGCCATCGACTTCTACACGTTTTCCTAGGGCCACCTTACTCATTCTTAAATTGTAAACTGATTTCTTCACACCCCCTCTGGGTTTGACTCTCCCATTTTTTGTCCTCAAGTCGTCACATTGCAGACATCTCCATCAGACTGTCCTAGAGGGACTGAATTCACACTGGAATGAGCAACAACTACATGCTGCAGCCATATATGTGGACGAGTCAGTAGAGTATCTTGAAATACATAAATGTGCTTTGAGACACATCCCACCCTTGAACAATTTCTTCTTATTGAAGAATAAATCAAGTACAACAAATATCATATGCTATATGTAAGGGTTTCTGGAACAGGGAGGGATATTTTACACTGCAGTCTGGTCATGGATTCAGGGGAGCTGGTTATTGAGGACCATTTGCTTCCCTTGCTTTCCAGTTCTGAGATGGCCTGACCTCCAGTCCATATTTAAGGGGACTCCTGAAGGCCTCTTCTGATCTCGTTACTTCACTAATGACAAATAACTGGTCTGTAGGTAAAAAACCATGGCATTCAAGCTGTGGATCTGATCTCTACCTTGGGTTGTGTGTCCTGTCTCTCTAGTCTTCACTCACATGCTTTGCCCTTTTATCGTCTTTTAAGACCGACTAAATGCCACTTCTGTGCTAAAGTTTTCCTTCAGTTCTTTTCACTCACTTCTCTAAGCCTTTCCTGAACGGTGCCTCTACTTTCCTATTTCGGTTTGTTTTTCATGGATGTCCTTTACACTAGACTGGGACTACCGTAGGGCAGATGCCTCGTCTCTTCCAGCTGACATTTCCAGAATCTAATGCAGATATAGAGCCTTGTCTAGATGTGGTTTGGCTTAACAACAGAGTTGAAGCCTTTCCTGAATTGTCCATTTATTTTCTTCTTTGGTTTGTTTTCCAAGGCCATCCTTTCCACTTGATTGGAAGTAAGTACGTACTACAGTAAGTAAGGCACAAGTCTAGTCTCTTCCTCTTGGCTTTTCCCCTAACCTGATCTAAAAGAGGAGCCTAGTCTAGATGTCTTCAGAGATTTAACAGGGTTGTAGAGGTATAGTCAGTGAATGAATACATGGAAATGGAGACAAGGACAGTTGAGGGTTACTTAAAAAAACAAATCCCCAGATGTCTACAGAGGGGGGAGTAAACCTTTGCAAGTGAGAACCATGTAGATTTCAGAGAGGCCTGGGGATTATGTACCATTAGAACTGCTGCCTCTGTTGGTCCCATGTTAAGGGAAGTTTTTATCTCACTTAACCTTTGTTAGTTCTATTTTTTGGTACTGTTAGGAAAGGCCATAAAATATGCTTGTAAGTGGTAGAGTAGATAGTGTAGCCTTGTCTTCCTCCAAAATACATACTGTAACAATTGTGCCTCTGTGTTAATGGCACTGTTGAAGGTCGAGTTGGAAATGGTGCTAGGCTTAGTTTTCTAATTTAAAGATACCAAATACATGGATTTTGTCTCTCACTGGAGGTTTTCTCCATAAGTGATGAATCTGGATGAATAGACAAAAAGATCAATGGTGTGTGATGTACTGTTTTTCTGGTTTTCACTGTAGGAAGACTTTGTAAGCCTTAGAATTTGAGTCATGGGTTCCCTCCATCCATGTCTTGCTAGTCCATCTATAACCTTGGGCAAGATGCTGTACCTCTTAAGTCAGTCTCTTCTGTGCAAAGTAGAATACTTAGCTTATAAGATAGTGTATTAAAATGAAAATAAGTACATCTTAGTCTTGTGATAGCACTGTATAATTATTGTTTGATTTCTGATTAGTTTCAGTTAATGTGAGTGGCTTTTATTCCTACATAAGCATTGCTACAGAAATTGTCAAAAGCCCTGAATGGATTTTAAGGTCTTAGTGGCAAGAAAGGTTGTTTTTGTCCCCTACCTTTTTAGTAACGGTGATTTTTAAAATTGTAGATGTCCACCTGGAGGGAG